GTGGGGGAACTTGCACAATCGGTGGCTGACTAAATACTTTTTTGCCCCACTGTATTTCTCAAACACAAGTATCACATCTGTGTATCTATTTTTATACATAGGTAGACTTTTAAAAAAAAATCACTATACAGAGATCATCTCCACAATCCTTACACGTGCAGTAACCCACTGATAACAGTGTACTGTGTGTACAATGGATGAGGTGGATAATAGTGCATGTATATTTGAAAGAGCTTGAGCGACAGACAGATGAAAAAGAAACAGAAGAGAAGAAGATTTTGTGTCTATGTGTATGTGTTTTTGGCAGTAAATCAGTATGCTAATGAGGCATGGTCTGTAATCCTCTTACAGCTAATCTCACTCAATCCCTCCAGTCCAGGCCTGGGCACTGCTCTCACACACTCAGGCATGCCTGAGTGAATACAACAGACACACACACATAGAGACTCGGTGCTTGCTCATACAACTTCTCAAAACACACAAAACATCTTTCACAAAAATAGTGACTTTGACAGAAAGATAATGAAATTTTTATAGAAAGACTTGAATGCTCATAATGCCAAGGATTGTATGTGAGCACCGTTCTTTCACAGACGCTCAGTGTTTCCTCAACAGCACTGTTTGAACCACAGAGAGACCAGTACTGTCCTTTTCCAGGCTCATCTTAGCCCTGTTTTTTGATAGCATGTTGTAAAGGCCAAGGTGAACTTTGCTATTCAGACGGAGGATGCTGGTCTGCAGCATGAATACTGATTACCTGCGCACGTCAAAGGTAGTTGTGTATGTAATTGTGCAGGCCCACGTTCTGCCAATTCTCCCTTACTTTGCAGAGAGACATCACAAGCCATGTGGTCGGAGAACTGTTTTTCTTAGTGTTGCCATAGCGATGCGGCAAAAGGTCACTCGGCGATGTTCTCCACTAAGACCTTGTGTATGTGCATGCATGTGTACTTCAGTGCAGCAGATTGCATTTGGCAGCAGACACCAAAAGAATGTTCAGGATGGGGCAGCTGCGCCAACCAGAGAAGACAGCACTGTGCATGTGTGTGTCTGTTTGTGTGCGCACGCTCGTATCTGAAAGCAATATCTGCTGATACTTGCACAAAAAACATCACAGAGGAATTTCTAACACAGCCACTCGTGCTCGGCGTGCCTGGATCATTGCATGTGTGTCACTATTAACCCATATCTGATATGTGATTCAATATATTACAGCGGGATTAGAGTTTAAGTATTCTCAATAAGGGGTTGCACACCACACGCACACACACACACACACGCTGATATAGTAAGAGCTTGGCTTCTCAACACCAGGGGGCTGACAAGGTGTTCTTCTCTGTGTGGTGAATTCTGCTGCATACCTAGTACTCAATATGCATAGCACATCACCCTCCTAAACTTTCTCTCTCTGTCTTTCATAGTGTCTTCCTCTTATTCCCCATCTCCCTTTCTCCATTACCTCCTTCTTTCCACTTTCCCTCATCCTTCCCTTTTTTCTTTTTTACCCCAGACCTCTCTTCACATCACCACCCCTTTAGGTGCTGTCTTCCCCTCCTTCTCTCTGTCTCCCTGTCTATCTAATCTATGTCTCCTTCTAACCCATCTGCCCTCACCAAATACCGCTTTGCTGCTATGTACTAGCATTTCCCTCTATTTCTTCTTTCCTGCTGTGTTCAGCCCTTGCTCTATACATTGCTAGTATCCTCCCTGCACAATATATCCACTTACTCTGACTCTGAGTACCGTATCAAATTTGAACGTAATGTTGACACACATTTTACAGATCCTTTTTCTGACTCTTTTTGTCATCTTCCTACTCCCTTTTTCCTCCTCTGTGCAGCTATGAAAGAGCTCTCACCCCCTCCTCTGAATCTGCGGCGTCTCTACACCGAGACAATGGAATGGGAGCCAGTGTTGATCATCATCTCTCCAGGGGCAGACCCTTCCCAGGAGCTCGCAGAACTAGCAGCCGAAACTGTTGGCAGGGACAATTATCATGAGGTAGCGAATAACAGTATAAAATGGTAGAAGTCACAGCAGATTATCAAGTGCAGGTGGATTTTTTCTTATCATAACAGCAAGATCACAACTATAGAATCTAGCCCATTCAATTTAGTCTAGCCTGGAATCTAGTAATATACTACACACCTTAAAGGGGAAAACAGAAGGTGCTACAAAATGTCCTGTTGCTAAATAGTTGTTGACATATGTTTATTTGGCATATAAGTCTGAGAAAAGATGCTCTTACACAGCTGAAGTAATACAATGTGGTTATTATCACAATTTAAAAGCTGAAACTCAGTGATAATCTCACTTGAATCAGATATGTGCCTAACTTGTGAGTTATTACAGTGTAGTAATCAAGTTTCATACCAATTTCTCTGTTTCTCTCTCACCCCTCCATCTCTCCCCCCACTTCTCCTGCTCTCCCTCTCTTTGTAGATCTCCATGGGTCAGGGGCAGGCTGATGTAGCCTTAGCTACACTCAGAGAATGCTCCCGAAATGGAGACTGGCTTTGCCTGAAAAACCTTCACCTTGTCACCGCATGGCTTCCCCTCCTGGAAAAAGTGAGTACTCTGTCTCAGTGAGTTTTTGTCTGTGTTAGTGCCAGAGGATCAGCCGTTAGCTTTTATCTGTGTTCATGCGTCTGAGTGAGTTTTTTTTTTTGTATTTTGAACTATTTTTGGGTTAATAATGGTTGAACAATAGAACCTGAAAAGGGGTCAGTTAGTTAGTCTGAATAGATTATTTATTCATGGATATGAACTTGTGTCAGTCAACAGCTGGACTTTATTAACTAGCTCTGCATTAATGTAAAATGATATTACATTACATCAACGTACGTGTGTGTGTGTGTGTGTGTGTGTGTGTGTGAGGGGGGTGGCGGGGGGGTTCACTCCAGCTTGTAAGTGTTTATCTGTAATGTTACAAAACTGCTACATACAAAAACAAAGCCAAGAACACATTCTGCTGGTTGCCCAAATTTCCATATCTAAAATTACCTTCTGTCCTTTGTCTACACATACACATTTTGTATTCTGCTATTCTGCCTGCCCACAATAGACTCTTTGGTGTTGTTTATGCCGCTGTGTTTCTACATTTGTCTCTCTGGACATTTACGTGTGTGTGTCTATGTGTATATGTGTTTGGATCTTGCTTTAAGTATGTGTGGATTATCATGTTGTGATGTCTTGTATATTTTAATTTCAGGGAAGATGGGCTTTTATCTTACAATAAATAGGATTCTTTTGTGTCTTGCAAATTTTTGGTTGTTTCTTTATTTTATTTTTTCCCGGGGTTCAGTTTCATTTTTTTGTTGCTGTAGCAGGCCACATCTGTCAGATGCCAAAAAAAAAAGCGATAATGGGAAGCAAAGCCCAAAGCAGACAGTTTCAAAGTTTAGCTGGTTTATTGACTCAAGGAGAGAAGATGTCATCGTGCAGAGATCCAAAAGACTGAGCAGGTTAGTCACTGGGAGAGGAGTAATTTGTAAGTCTGGGAATGATTGGTTTTAGTTATAGGAGGTTGGGCAGGCAGGCAGGTGAGTTGAGACATAGACTTCTTGAGTGAAGTTGAACAGACCTGCTCGATGGAAACAGGCGAGTTGCACTGAGTGGGACGCCACTCTTTGGCCACTGGGGAAGTACTGAAAAGCAGGAAAACAAGAATATTATACTAGAAAATCTGCGAGAATGCTGGAGAGCCATAAAAAAGCCAGATTACCACTCTGAAGAGGCACACAACCTGGTGTCCTTAAGTAGTGGTTGTTGATAACAGTGTCGAGCAACAGGTGACCAAACCGAAGAGTGGGAATCTGAGTCTCCTCCTGCCTAACCCAACGGGGACAGTGCAGGATGATAACGGTACCATATCGAGAGGAACCACTTCATGCTGTGATTACCCCCCGTGTCTGTGTTTGTTTGTGCATAGCCCTCACCTGTATATGTGTGCCTGTGTGCGTGCCTTGGAGATAGCCAAGAGATCCCACGTGTCAGCTCAGCGCCCCCCTCCCTGAGTGTGACTTAAACCATGGCTTATTACAGCTCTCCTCTACTTCTTCTCCTAATATTTCACTTTGCATTTATATGCTTGTTTTTCTATTTGTTTCCAACTCTATACCCCAGCCATCTTCTCACCAGGTTTTCACACCCCTCCCTAAATTTTACAAGTATAACTCTTTCTTTCCGTCTCTCCCTTTCTCTCGCTGTTTCATTGTTTCCCTCTTTGCGCAGCTACCGATGTAGTTGGGGCCTCAGCACTCGAGCTTGAAATGAAAAGCTGACGCAATGTGAGGAACGAGGGAGGCAAGGAGCGTAGGAAAGAATGGAGAAACTGAGGATGAAAATAGAAAAAAAACAGGGAAAATGAACTGAACCGCAACATTCTAACAAGAGAGGGGGTGTGTTTTAGTATACGCTTCAGTTTCTGTAGCTTCGTCCTTTTGCTTACCGTTTCTCCCGCTCTATGTTTTCCAGCTTCTTTTTCTTGCCCATCTGTCTCTCTGGTGTTTCCTTTCTTCACTAAAGCAGTTGGCCATTTAAAGAGATGGAAATAGAGGTGGAGAGACTGCAGAGAAGAGTGGTCAGTGTTCATAATCTGAGTTGGCAGGGCAGATGTCCTCTCATTGCTGTCTACTCATATTCTTCCACTTGTGCTATTTTCTGTCTCATTTTTTACATCAGTCACTCCATCTGTCTACTTATGGATCCTTCCCTCACTCTTGCAATCAATTTGCGTCTGTCTGTATTATTCCAGTATGAGGAAACAATGGCAAAATTTGATCCACACTTTTTATGATAAATCAGATACCGCCAGTGATGTGTTTCAGAATATCTGCTGTGATGTAATTAGTAACTGATCGAAATATGATATCTGTGTCTTTACAAGGATAATTCTTATCACTGGTGTGCTGATTCAGAGCCTATTTAGTTTATCTATTTGTGCATGAGTGGTTTGGCTTTCACACTCTGGACAGTGTGGATATATTCCAACAAAGAGAGATTTTGATTTGTGAATACTAAAATAGATTTATGCTCTCTCTAGCGTCTTCCTACTCCTGCTTTCTATCCACACATCTACACATTTTCTTTTCCTCGTTGTTTTCTTCTTGGTCGTACACCATCCTGCAACGCTATAATCTGTTCCAGTGGAATTCTGATTGACGACGCTTCAGACAGACATACGCGTAAACACACTCACGCAATACACACCCACATACAATGGGGGACATCAAGTATTTCTTCAAGGGACATCAGTTCTTGTGGTCTTTGATTTTTTTGGGGATCATGTGAGCTGTCATGAGGATGACTTGAGCTCTAAATGATGCAGAAACACATTGATTACAGTTTGACTGTATGTGTGTGTGTGTCTGTGCTTGTATGAGATCAGATGACACAAGACCCTAAGGTGCCAGCAGGCTATTTTTAACCATGAGTCTTTGAGAAAAATAGAAAGAGATGGGGAAGGAATGTAAAGGGGAGACGTGAAAGAAAGAAAGCTAGAAATTGAGAGAGTAATGGAGTCAGGAGAAAAAAAGATGCTGAAAGAAGAAAAAGAAAAGTGAATGTGAAGTGAATGGGTTTGTCATTGTGGAGAATTTATCACAGTGCAATGATTCTAAAAGAGAAACAATTACATAAAAAGACAGACGGAAAACATGAAAGGATGAAATATATTTACTTGAAGTATACTGCTCAAAAGTCTAGTTTAATTAGTATAATTTCCCTACATGCAGCACCTTGCAAAAGTCTTGAGGCACCTCTCATTTCTTTATATTTTGCTAGGAAAATAAGTGCAGTGATTTCTTGAAATTTGCAAACATACAATATAAAAGGTCAGTATTTGGTATGACCACCTTTATTTTGTAACACAACCTGAACTATTTTAGGCAGGCTTTCTTGTAATTTCTTTAAGTAGTCTTCAGGAATAGTTCTCCAGGCTTCTTGAAGGACATTCAAAGCTCTTCTTTGGATGTTGGCTGCCTGTTGTTCCGCTCTGTCAAGATCATTCCATACTGCTTCAATAATCTTAAATTCTGAACTCTTGGGAGGCCAATCCGTGTGTGATAATGTACCAGTGTGTGTTTTTCTATCCAACTACGATGCATCTCCAAGCTCCTGGGTCAGATCTTTGCTTATTTTTTTTCAGATTTCTTAAGGACATGACTTTCAGATCCTATCTGCGTGCTGTAGATGTAGATCTTTTAGGCCAACCATCACTTCTCTGGTCCTCTACTCCTCTCTTTTTATTTATTTATTAATCTTGGCACACCATACCAAACTGTTTAATGACACACAGCACACCAGGCTGGTATATGCCAAGTTTTCAGCTAATAGCTCTTTTGGAATCACAGTGTTTATACAAAAATACAATTTTTATGCCTGTCAAACTGTGTTTTAGGCACTTTTCAAATATTCAGCCAAAGAAATTGAAAGTAATGAGTTTTTTCAACAACATTTTGTGCCTAAAGTTACAATTTAACATTGGTTCTGTGCTAAATTATTTTTTGCATAGACACAACACTGGCGCATTTCTTGAGTTTGGTGCCGTTTTTAGACTCTGTGCAAGAGTTTCATCATGTCAACCACTGAGTAAGGTTTATAGTTTGAAATATTTAAGATTTGCACAGATATGTGGGTTGGGAAGCAGTGGTGCTGGATGCATGTCATAAAACTCAGATTTCAGCATTGATTTATTGGTATATATATTAATCTATTTAATGTGCACACTCTTTTTCCTCTATAGGAGCTAAATGTGCTACGGCCCAAAGCAGGCTTCCGTCTTTGGCTGACAGCAGAAGTTCACCCCAGATTTCCCCCCATTCTGCTGCAGTCCAGCCTTAAGATCACTTATGAGGTATACACACACGCACACAAATACACATCCAATACCATAAGTTTGGTGTTTTAACCCACTGCACAAATTAGAGCTGTTCCAACACATTTTTGCAGGCATTCTGTACACATGCTTACATATCCTTATACTTATTACCACTTTTTATACAGTATCTCAAATCATCCTTGGAAACAGAATTTATCTATCTGTATCTCCCCTACTCCATATAATACGCCAGGAGATACAGAAGCCTGCAGTTTGTGTGTTAGTGACGCTGCTTTAGTGCTCTGTGTGTTTCTGATTCGAGTTGTGCTCATGGGGTTAGCTGCTTCAGCAGCCAAGCATGCTGCATGAACTTCCTGTCTGTTTCCCTATTTTCATCTTTTCTTTTTCTTCACAAACACTTGGAAAAATCTGTTAGTTTACATGTGTTTATACACATTATAACACAGTCTGGCTTACTGCAATACAAAATGTCTCGGCTCCAGGATAAGTGTTAACATTAATATCTGAAGCTATAAACTGATATATGTATGTAATATTTATTTAAATGGGTTAACTGGTTGATTTGTGCTACACCTAAACAAATATATCTAATCTACTGATTTGGTAACTTATCCAGTACATTGATCAACTTTGGCAAATTCTGTGTACGCCTTACTGGCAGTGTGCATTGTGAAACCCCCCAGATGGTGTACAAGATCTTCAGCTAAGCTGTTTATGTTTGAACAAAGTCGATGTATACTGATTGGTTTTAACTCAAATGGGCCATATTGTTGGCAGAGGAATGAAATGTTCAGAGAACTGTTTAGAGGAACAATATGTGTTGGATCATGTGGCAGATGCTTCAGCTAAATTATACCAAAACATTTATATAATTTATATTCAGTAGTTATGTGCACATGTAGTAGTTCTGTGTATAGTCTAATCTGTTCTTGCAAGAGTACCAAAGTACTCTGTGTCAAGAAGCTTCTGTTCCAGTCCTTCCTGTGGTTAATTATATGTTCAACACTGTCGAACTAAAGAATTATTTTTATATTTAATTTAGCTCTTCCTTTTCTTAATAAGTCAGTTGATGGGCTACAAATAACTTACCTTACAGTTAATAAGTGCAGAAAGGATTTTCAGCCTTCCTGCTATGATTTTTTTTTCAGTGTCTCGCAGTTGTCATACTTTGCCAGATTTTTGCTACGGTCATAAGTATTTTGTGTATGAATGCATTTGTTCAAAATATTTATGTGTTTGGAGCTTAGGATGTTTTTTTATGTTTGCAATTTTAGCTTTGAATTTACATGTGAATAATGTGCAGGATTAACACCTTTCACACTTTCACTTTTCCTCCTCCAACATCTTTCTTTCACAATTCCAGGATCCTCCTGGATTAAAGAAGAATTTGCTGAGGACATATGAGTCCTGGACTCCAGAGCAGATCAGTAAAGGTTGTCTCTCGTCTCTGAAATTGATACGTCAGAGTAGAATATACATCTCTGAACTCATCATGTGTCAGCCTTTTGAGATAGCTGACAAGTAGACCTGATACTTATATTATAAATAATCTGTCTTGTAAAATGACAGTTCACTTTCTTTGATTATAATATAAGTACGTGTTCTTGCACTAGTATAATCACTGTTTGTGATATCACTGCCTATTAGCTTTAGCAGCTTGTCATGTGAACCAGAATCACAGCTTCTGTGTTGTGACGTCGTGACTGATTGTGTGCAGGAGGTATTCTGGCCAGAGCCCAGTCTCTTTTCTGTCTGGGTTGGTTCCATGCCGTCTGTCAAGAGAGACGAAACTACATCCCACAGGTAAAATACTTAACATAATCATAGTTCTTAGTGCTTAATCGTCATGTGAGTGAGTACTCCAAACTTGTCATTGTTACTACGCACAAATTTTCAAATTCCAAATCATTTGAAAATGATGTGTCCCTCTGATGAGAGAGGGTGTCTAACCCATTTAATCAAGGCGTACAAAATGATTAAACAACTTTAAAGAGGCTCTTCTGTTCAGAACTGAATGAGAACTGAAACATCTAAACAAACTTGAAGAAGTTGAGTTACCTTCTTTTTTTCAAGCTTTTAAGGACTACCATTACCTGGATGACTACTCAGACACTGGACAATTAAAAATATTTGTTGTGAATAGTCAACATGGTTCTAAACTATATAAAATATAATTAACCTGATAGATGGGCCTGTAGCCGGATTAACGATTGATAAAGGATGTCACATTAGAGGGGTGGTGAAAGGTTGCTGCTATGAGTTTCTAAAATTTAGGATGACCAAAATTCATTCCCAGACCTCTCAGTATCTGGAAAATACCTTTTTCAAATAGTGGTTTAAGATTAAGCCCAGTATTCAAGGAAGGCATGAAATGATGGTTAATTTAAGACAGACTTCAAACAACAAGAAATACGAAATATGTTAATATAATTAATACCTATTAAAGCAATAATAAAAAACATGAACAGATCAATTACAAATTATAAAAGAGAAAAAAGAAATGCAACATAGCAATAAAAATAATCTTTGAACACATTTTTATGTAGAAATGTTTTTCAAGAAGGGATTTAAAGCAAGTCACTGACTCTGCAAGCTTTATCTCTGCAGGCAGGTGGTTCCAAAGATGAAGGGTCACCTTTAGATTAAATCCTTGACTTTGGGACAGCCAGAAGGTACCCACCTGAGGGTCCAAGGCTCCAAACCAGCTTATATTGAATCAGCATCTTGCTGTGTAGTTCTTGGGCACAATAAATCAGTAAAATCTTGAAATCAATTGTAAAACATACAGAGATGCCATCTGTGGGACAAGGATTTTACATTAGATTCCAAAATGCATGTTCAGTGGGTTTGTAGTATTGAAGAGTATACAGTGGGAGAAATAACTACCTGATTCCCTGCTGAATATGTAGGTTTGAACATGAATGAACATTTAAAAATTGTAAACCTGAAATTAATGTGAAATAAAAACCTACAAAAACAAAAGAAATAAACAGAAAAAAGCATGACAGCTCTGTTAGGCAAACACACAAACTGAGTCTCTCTGTGTGTGTGGGTGTGTGCATGTACCCATGCATGTGTAAATGTTTACATCCAGCCAATATAAGCCTTTGTAGTAACCCAGTCTGCTGGCCAACACACTGAGTTTGGTCAATAAACCCCACACTGGTGAGGCACCTGATGCTTGTCATGCATACTGCTTATAGAGCAATGTGTGTGCTATTTCTAATATAAAAGACAGTGAAGTATGGAATACTTTTGATGTTGGTGGCCAGTCGAAAGGAAATTAAATTGTCTCAACTCTGTCTTGACTCATGGCACATATTGGAAGTAGAGCTTTTTTAGTCCATGCGAGTTCAGAATGTGTAACGTATATAAAAGCATTTAAGCAGTATTGAAGTAGGAACACGTGCTAGATTTGAGTCCTTTGAGGTGCTCTTGGAAATGGTCATCCAGGCTCCCAAAAGAAATCCAGATAAAGGCTGGAAAGCACAAATGCCCAAACTTGAGATTTTTAGGTTAAAAATGACCATGGCATGAGAATAAAGGCATCTGATATGTTATTTAAAAGCAAGTGCTTAGAGGTATTTATCAGTATTTTATTGTTTAATTTCTGTAATCACCATTTCTATAGATAAAATCTGGCTGTTTATTTTCTCAGTTTCGGGCATTGATGTATTGAGGTCATTCCATATCACTTCATCAAATCCCTCCAAATGACGATCTCTGATTTGACTGAAAACATCTTAAGGAACGATACACTTATTAATGATAATTATACAAAATTTCAGAGCCAAAAATAGGAAAATGAGAGAGAATGCCATGCCAAATTTTGGATATTAATAGAAACTTGCATTTTGTAAAAACATTCTGGGAATGTCACACTGAAGATGGATGGAAGAATGTTTTATCTCATAATCAAGCTTTAATATCTGTTAAATAATTTACCTGATGTTGACTGTGTTTTTTTTTAATGTTATGCACCTTGTCTATGAGAAGCTGTAAGTAAAAAAAAATAAAAAATCTGCCCACCCAGCCTACCCACAACATTCATGTTTCCACAGGCCTTCAAATCTGCTGTCAGAGACTGGATATGGAAATATTCTGTAGACTTAAAGCATCCATCTTTATATGTTAACCTGAGACACTCCTGAGAGTCCATATTCATGCAATCACGTACCCTAAAATATTTGAAGGACCTAGCTCAAGGAGTTTTTTTAGATATTAGAATTTTAAAATGCCAAAATCCCAAAACAGCTTTAAAACGTGTGTAAAAACACCAATAACAATTTTTTAATCAACAACTCCAAAAATGTATTTAATTCTTGTTTTTATATTTCATGTATTAAATCAGAGTTGAAGGTTTAAAATGTCTGCATGAATGCAGAAATAACCCAGAAAAGTAGCTTTCGTAAAGTGACAGTCTGACATTCACTGCTACCTCACACAGCTTCAGGTGTGCGGGGGAGAGAAAGTAAGCATGTTCTTGCTCTTTTCTTAATGCAGCATTGTGACTTTTGTACCCTTTTGACGTGTACAGCTGAGTACAACATTATAAAAGAAAAAAACGAAGGTGTGTATTATTATGCTTGTTCCTTTCAAATCCTAACGAAACGAGATTCACTGGAAATCAGTCTTGGCTGATTCTTACCTTTCCTTGTTTCCTCGTGTGTCCTTATGAACCAATCAACTAAAAAAAAAGCTTCTTAACTTTAGAAGTGCTGGTTTGTTTGACATTAAGCAATCTGAGTACATTCTAATGAAATATAAAGATAAAAAGAGACTTCAACAAATTTAAGATGTCAGTTATGTGTCAGTATATGGTACTTGATGCATTTCTCAAATTTAGGACCAATCATAGAATACCTCGTCTGCCAGCATTCCCCTTTATTTAAAATCCATTTTCCTTTCTGGCCCCCGATATTTGTTTTAGCCTGTCTGCAGTTTTCTTGTCTCTCTTTTGCTGTTTTTATCTCTCTCATTCTCTTTCTTGCTCAGTCACTGAATCTCTGGTAAGTGTTTTCATTTGAGATGGTAATGTTGTTTCTCATCCAAGAACATGATCACCTAATTACTGAAACAGTCGCAGCGCCTCTTGTCCACTCCACCATCACTCATTTTCTTCTTGCTTCATCTACTGTTCTTCTTCCCCATCTCATTTATTCTCTTGTTTTCATCCTCTTTACATGCCACTGCAAAAAATATTTCTTTTAAAAAAGACAAAGGCAGTAGAATTAAAATGAAGCAAAGCGGACAGGCTTCTATTTCCAAGGTTGTGTATATTCCTAATGAAAGGGAATCTGTAAAGTTGCGTCTGTGTGTGTGTGTGTGTGTGTGTGTGTGTGTGTGTGTGTGTGTGTGTGTGTGTGTGTGTGTGTGTGTGTGTGTGTGTG